CCGTGGACGGACCCAGATCCTCCAGCAGAGACCGGTCCACCGTGGACCCGCTGGAGGGAAGAGAGGCACGGGAGAAGCAGAACCAGGACTGAGAGGGGCAGACTGTCAGACCCTGCTGCAGTAAAATGAGAGGATTTCTAAAGAGACTCTGGTGCTCAGAGACACTACCACTTTAGTCCACAGGGGCCAACAGAACCAACGCTGAATAAAAGTTCCTGATTGTAACTTTAACAGATAATCTAAAAAGCTAAATGGACTGAATCCCCTTTTTGTCCTCCTCTTCTGTTGGTGTCTCCTCTTTCCTTTCCTTCCTCAGTTTGGGAACACATGTTACTGTAACTCCGTGCTCCAGGCCCTCTACTTCTGCCGGCCTTTCCGGGAGAACGTGCTGTCGTACAAAGCCCAGCAGAAGAAGAAGGAGAACCTGCTCACATGCCTGGCTGACCTCTTCCACTCCATCACCACGCAGAAGAAGAAAGTGGGCGTCATCCCGCCCAAGAAGTTCATCTCCCGCCTACGGAAAGAGAACGGTGAGAGTTTTTACTAACACCAGAGCTCAACACTTTCCTAAACAGTGATTTTATGTGCCAGATGAAAAGCAAATCTTATCTCGAGATCAATTATGTTGTTTATCAGAAAAACTAAAAGCTTGGTGGCAGCAATAAATAGGCATTCATTTAATAGTTTAACACTTGTGCCTCACGTTTAAATAATTGCTCTGATGCCCCTAAAAACTGCCGTACAATTATATGTTAATATTTTTATCAGTCTTTATTCTAACGACCAAATATTCATTCATTTTTTTGCTTTTAAATGTCAGTTAGTTTACATAATGCCACTGTTGTTTTTTATAAAAAGTTAAAATTAAAACACACAAATGTTGAATTACGTTCTGCTAACTAAATGCTCGGGGGATTTATTTCTTTATTTCTATAGTCCAGGACATGTCAGTGATGAGCAAAAACATTGTTTTTTGAGTTTGTATTTGCACCAAATATTTAAAAAACAACTCAAGCTGGTGGAAAATAGTAAAAAACACAATTTTTAGATTGAAGGCCTGATTTGATGCTGTAATGGGATCAAACGTTGTGGTTTTAATGGGTTTCAATCTGAACATTTTTGCCCTTAAGGAGCTAACTGTCTGTACTTTGGCTGCTCAGTTTATTACAGATTTATTATCGGAGCTGAGGTTCAACTTCCGCAATAAAAAAATTTGAAAAACTTAAACCAATTCCAAAATGTATGCAACACAGCCACAATGATGGAAAAATTAAAAAGCCAGAAATGTCCCGAGTGATGCATAAGAGTTAAACCTGGTGCAGCACAAAGCAACAACATCATTATTATTATTATTATTATTATTATTATTATTATTATTATTATTATTAACAGTCGAAGAAAACTGAAGACGTGCTCTATGCATAACATCATAATAAAACTGTTTGTACAGCACTTTCCATAAAAAGTTACAAAGTGCTTCTCAGTAAAACAAAATTAAAATTAAATCCGAAAGATAAAAATGCTGATTTAAATATTCAGTTTAGATGAAATGTTCGGGATTTAAAAGAGGATACTCACTTGATATAACAATTGTTTTAACATTTTCACATAACCGGAAAAGCTGCGGTGTACTTAAGAACATTAACGACGCGTGCATTACATGAACCAGTCCCAGTGTCCTGGTTCATGCTGCCTCACTGGAACGTTCTCCTGCGACAGTGAACGGAACAGAGCCGTCGTTAATTCATTATCAGTTCCAGCTATTGCAACTTTAATTGTGTCCCATGAAACGGGTCTGTTGGTTGCTTTGGTGTCAGTGAATTTGCAACCCTACAGGTGTTTGTTTTTTTATTTCGTGTTGTGTCCACATGCATCACTGTGTTCGTAAACAGTCAGAGAGCTCAGCAGCAGTGCTGGCTGTACTGCAGTCTGAATATCTGAGGTGAAGGGCAGGTGCATGCTGGAGGTTGTTCAGAGAGTAGAACTCACAGAGAGGCCGACTGTTCACTGTCGTCCATATTGAGGAAGCTCTGTGTGTGAATGAACAATGGCATCTCTGTTGGGACCGAGCTTTGGTTCTCGCTCTCGCTCTCTCGCTCTCTCGCTCGCTCTCTCGCTCTCTTCAGTTCTCACCTTTCACGTTACAGGTCTGTCAAAACAGAAGTGTGTAATGATGGTGGTTTCATCGTCGCCTGTCGATTTCTTTTACCTGATCTGCAGTAAGACTCTTCTCAAGACGGGAATCATCAACTTCATTAAAGCAGCCAGTTAGCTTAGCTTAGCCCAAAGCTAGAATAGCTCAGTCTGAAGGATAGACTGTCTGTAAGAAGTTGACGTAGTGGTCGTGGAGTCACCCATTGGTTTGTGGGTTTGACGTTTTGAAGCCTCGAATTCAGCAGTTTGGCTGTCGCCATTTTGTTTTTTTGCAGCCAGTGAACAAAAGTGAGCATATCTGGACGGAGGAGTGACGTACGTCTCTGGTAGAGACCTGTCAATCACTGTGTAGCCCCGCCCTAAAGCATCCCCTGCTTTATGGTCTGTGTGACTCTAAATGGACCATAATGTACTAAATGAACATCATGCTGTATTGAAGAAGACTTGAAACTAGAGATTGAGACCATAAACTCATGTTTACAATGTTTACTGAGGTAATAAATCAAGAGAGAAGTAGAGTCATTTTCTCATAGACTTCTATACAACCAGAGGAGTCGCCCCCTGGTGGACACTAGCATCGGCTTCACTCTTCAGACCCGGAGGTTGACGCTAGTTCAGAAGGGAATAAAATCTGCCTACCAGCACCTCTGAAGCTCACTGATTTAACGCTGGTTTGTGTAATCCCTACAAAAAAAAAACATTTAAAAAAACAACAACTTAAGCATTTGACTTTGGGTTGAGTTGCGGACTGTTACTTGGCTGAGACTCCAGGAAGTCACCGATCACATTGAGGTGTAACTTGTTTATCAGTTAGCTTTAGATGTTCTGGTATTTGTTGCTATTGAAAGAACCTCGGCTAGCTGTTTCCACTGATTTCGAGTCTTTTTGCTAAGCTAAGCTAACCAGCTGCTGTTTGTAGCCTTAAAGTTAACGTACAGATCGTCTCATTAAACTTGAAATAAGCTTATTTCCCCAAATGCCAAACTTTCTCTTTAAAGCAAAGCTGCGGTTCAGGTCAATATATTTTTTACTGCCTGACTAAATAAATAGCTTTCAGTGATTTTTCACATAGAAGTTTGCAGAAATATTTTAACAAAATATAGAGCTACAATGAGAAGTCAATCAACGGAGAATTAAGCAGCAACTATTTTAATAATCAAGTAGAAATGCCAAACATTTGCTATTTCGAGCTTCTCAAACGTGAAGATTATAAGCTTTTTCTCTGCCATGCGTGATAGTAGACTGAATATCTGCTGGTTTGTGGACTGTTGGTTGAATGTAAGAAGACATTTAAAGACATCATCTTGGGCTGTGGAAAATCATAAGAAGATGAATAATCCAGAAAATAATTGCCAGAATGAAATCAATCCTTGCGGCCCTACAGAAACATAAATATTGGAATCAGCATGGAAAGATGATCATAATTTAATGGCTGAGAACAAGATCAGTGGCCAAAAAAACCCTCTTCTTTCCCGTAATTTTCTCCTCCATGAATTCTCTCCCTCCCCCCTTCATCTCTGCGTCTCCCCTCCAGATCTGTTCGACAACTACATGCAACAGGATGCCCACGAGTTCCTCAACTACCTGCTGAACACGGTGGCCGACATCCTGCAGGAGGAGAAGAAGCAGGAGAAGCAGAACGGGCGCCTCAAGAACAACGGCACCGCCGAGACCGAGACGGAGAACAAGTCGGAGCACAAGACGGAGCCCACGTGGGTTCACGACATCTTCCAAGGCACGCTGACCAACGAGACGCGCTGCCTCAACTGTGAAACGGTGTGTGGCTTTATTTTTGCCGATTGAGTTGTCTGTGTATTTACTGTCGTCTGTCCCTCCCTGTGTCCCCCCTGAATAAGATATCTGTCCTGAATAAGTCTGGAAAAGGGATTAGGGATGCAAAAAAAAAAAAAGGATGTAGTGATCACAGCTGGTAAGCTCGGACCACCCACTTTACGTCATTGCTGGCTGAGGCTTTGTCCTCACCGTTTTTATGGTGAGGACAGTGGGACGGGTTGCCTTGAACAACCCCTGCAAACACCAAGGCGCCGCAGTGCGCAGAGACAAAAGCTACTCAGTACAATCAGCATTTCAAAGACTGTGTGTGTGTGTGTGTGTGTGTGTGTGTGTGTGTGTGTGTGTGTGTGGGTGGGTGTCGGTCTGGGTGCTGGCTTGTCCTCACTGACCCGGTCAGAAGAGTATGTCATAGAAAAGGAGTAGACATTTAACTGTATCCTGTGGTCATTTGACTTGTACAAAAAAAAAAAAAAAAAAGGCTTTTGTTGTTATTGTGAGAATGCGTCAGTGTTGTCGCAGCTCGGCTGAAAGAGAGCGGATGCAGCTTGGGAGACGGATAGCTCCAAGTTAGCTAGTTAGTTAGCTTGTCCTTCTCCGGAGTGAGCGGAGGGACGGTTAGACCCAGCGCCAGCCTGCTATTCAGCTTGTTTTCCGTAATCAGTGTAGCATTAAAGCATGCGGGGAATTAGCGAGCTAGCTAACTAGTCAGCTGTCAGCTAGCTAGGTTGCTAATTCCATGCTTTAATGCTACACTGCTTACAGAAAACAAGTCAAACAAAGTTGTCACTCATCTGGCGACAGCAATGTGCTTTCCTACGATGTGACAAGAAACAAGAAAACTTTAGATTTTGTTTGCGAAACGCATGAAGATAGAAAATAATGGTCTTCATTTTTGTCTTTGGCAAGTTACCATAGTATCAGCGGGATAATACCCTTTGTTGTGTCCATTATCGGGGATTAATGGACGAAGTCTGACCATCTTTCTACGTTGATTTGAATGGGAATTTCCATTCTACTCTTATTTAATTTCTATGGAAAATGTTTAGTCACCTCAGTATCTCCTTATTTGACAGGTGAGCAGCAAAGATGAGGATTTTCTGGATCTTTCTGTGGATGTGGAGCAGAACACATCAATAACACACTGCCTCAGGTAGTATTCATTTATCATCTATTCAGTCACATGTTCCCTTTTGGTCTGAATGAGATCGAATAACCAAGCCTCCCGTGCTCTCCCCTCCAGGGACTTCAGTAACACGGAGACGTTGTGCAGTGAATACAAATACTACTGTGAGACGTGCTGCAGCAAGCAGGAAGCACAGAAGCGGTCAGTAAAGCACCGAGCTCAATGACAGTGTGATATATATCACCGTGCACTTCTCTGAGCATGTGCGCTTCTCTGCAGGATGCGCGTGAAGAAGCTTCCTATGATCCTGGCGCTTCACCTGAAGAGGTTTAAGTACATGGAGCAGCTGCACCGCTACACCAAGCTGTCCTACCGAGTGGTTTTCCCCCTAGAACTCCGTCTGTTCAACACGTCCGGGGATGCAGTCAACCTGGATCGCATGTACGACCTCGTGGCTGTGGTGGTTCACTGTGGCAGGTACAGCCCAAAATATGAGGCTCCAATATGAGTGATACCAACTAGCATGTAAAGACATATCGTAGACTTCACATGTGTTGAGGTCCATAAGAAACCGCTGGTTTTCTCCGTCTAAAAAAAACACAGGGGTCATTGATTCTAGTCATACCATGGTCTGGGTGAATACTCAATTCTGATTGGCTGCTTTCCATTGCATAATAACCTAATGGGATGCTAATGATGTTCCAGGTATTAGCACACCCTCAGGGTTTCCAGGGAAATGGAGTAACTGGATTGTGAAAAACTTTACATTTTTGTTGCAAAATGCATTAAAATATAAATTTATGCAAGGGACTGATGTATAAGCGGGATAGTGCCCTTCGAATTGTCCATTATCAAGAATTAATGGACGACACCGAGTCCAGAACTGTCGGTCTGCACGAGAAAAACAGAAAGGATTTGGTTATTATAATCATACGCTTATCCTGATCAATTTTACCGGGACAGAAGTGACCACCATAATCGGTTTCCACTGTACAATGAACATCTGTGTGGCAAACTGTGCATCGATGATGTAGAGATGACTTTGTCTGCTCCTGCAGGAAGTTAAGAAGGCTGGAGGTCAGTGTGGGAGTTTTGTGTTCGTTAGTCACTGTTTGTCTCTGTCTCCTCAGTGGCCCAAACAGAGGTCATTACATCACCATAGTGAAGAGTCATGGCTTCTGGCTGCTGTTTGATGACGACATTGTGGAGGTGCGTCACTCTCAACCTCCAGCGATGCTCCTTGACTCATCTGTTTGTACATTTGCTATTGTTTTTTCCAGTAAACATCACCTTTTCTTGTGTCGTTCAGAAAATTGACGCCCAGGCCATCGAGGAGTTTTACGGGCTTACCTCAGACATCTCCAAGAACTCTGAGTCAGGATACATCCTCTTCTACCAGTCCAGGGAGTGACTGGACCTGGATCAGTGCCACAGGGGAAGAGTAAATAGGATGAGACCTTGTTTTGCTCTTTTTACCTTCAGCCTAACAGACATCCTGCTCCCATTCTCCAAGTCAGACCTCTCTGATGTGCCAATCCTCTTTCCCATCTCTCTGTAACTTCCTCCTTGCCTTTTAGTCACCTGCATCTGGACTGCACTTTAAAATCGAAAGCAAAAAAATAAATGACCGGAACAAAAAACGGAGCCCCACGCGCTCGGTGTCGACTGGTCGGAGAAGCCTGCAGAGATGATTGACTACCAGGAACGTGATGGGAGGAGAAGGGTCTGGTGCACAGTCTGTTGTTGTTTGTCATTTATATGTAGATGCGGTCTTCTTCCATGATGTGTCACCCCCTCGTTAAAGGACCAGTGTGTAGGATTTAGCGGCGTCCAGCGGTAAAGGTGCAACGGATCATAATACTCACGGTCCGGATCAGCACAAAAGAAAAAAAGGGAGCAAACATAACTTTTAGAGATCGCTGATACTAATTGCAGATCATTGATGATCCATATTATCAGATAGAGATCCCTTTGTTGATGGATTATAGCAGCTGGTCTACCCGTCCCAAAAATCATTTCAACCGCTCTGAAGTCAGTAAACCATCAAAAATACTAAATGTTGTACTTTTACTTTGTTATAGTGTTTGTTCTCTTTGTGTAAAGGCTTTTAATGTTAGCCAAACATCAACTAGTGTTTGAAACGCCCTAGCTTACCTATTTTTGTAATGCTAAATATGAAGAAAATATATATATATTAGACCACGCCCACTTAGGAGGCAGGAAGTGTGTACCAGTTGGCGCAGCTCGTAATGTATCGTCTTTGTTATAGAGCGTCTTCGTTGCAACCAACCAAATACCCCTCCGCTCACTTTATAAACAAGTAGAGAACTACGGTGGCCTTCAGGGAACATAAAAATGTGAAAGGCTCTCTCTAAAGCCAGTGTTTGTAGTGTCTGCTCTGGGCCACAGTAGAAACATGGCAGACTCCGCCTTTCACTACCTACATAAACATGAAGGGCTCGTTCTACGAATTCTACTCAGTGAAAATGATTCTTAGTTTCAGATGGTTATACGCTAACGAAAACATAGTTATGATAACTATATTCCATTTCTGCCAGTCGAGCAATCCTACACACTGGCCCTTTAAATCCCTTCATTCATTTTATTTCCCCGTCCAGTCCTTTGATCTGTTCATGTCCCTGGTGGATGATGTTGGCAACAAACACTGTATAATAAGGCGTAGAGAGAGATTTCATGCATTTTGTTGAAGCAATATCTGAGCATTAATAAGAGAGAAGTCACAAGCTGAAAACTACCTGAACTTTAACTGTTGACAGTATGAAGGTTGTTTTTGTCCCGTAGGGAACCACTCTGAGCTGTCCGTCCGTCTGTCTGTGACGGCTCATGTCAGTCTAACCTCATGTGATCAACTCTTTAATCCAGCCGAGCTAAATGCTCTTAACACGTCACATGACAGGAAGTCCTGCTGTTTTCTCTGTCGTATGGATCTCCATTCAAAACCAGCTAAATCTTTGTTATTTTTATTCTAATAGAAAACCAATATTTATTGTACTTGACATATTTATTACTGTTATTTGTAATGCAGATGGATAATGAAGGTGTGTGTGTGTGTGTGTGTGTGTGTGTAATATGGCTCTTTTGAAAGCTTTTGTATGTTAGGGCTGGGGCAGGGTATGGTTTTAACAATTACAATACCAGTACCCAAAACCAGTGCCCGTAACGTTCACTACCATCACAGACTGTATGGGTTGTAGCTACGTCAGCGGTCGCCCAATCACATTAAATCAAAGAACTCTTGCGATGATTGACGGTTAGCAAAAATACACAAACAGTGTTTTGTTGTTTTCTAGATCTGGGTACATAAAGCAGGTATCCTCTGACTGGAGAAGTTTGGATACTTATTGGTTGGCACTGGTTTATTGTACCGACACCCAGCCCTAGTTAAGACCCTAATGTCTAAGCCGAAGGACATGGAGTGTGTAATACACAACTTGAAAGGAAGGCTAAAAAGGGAAAAAAATGGTTTTATCACTTTAATTTTGTAGTTTGCATGTCAAATATAAAAATTTGACATATTAAGGGGAGAGTGTGCGGAATTTGGTGCCATCTAGTGCTCACCTCTCCCTCTTCAAGGCTGTGGTAACATGAGCCGCCGAGTGCATAACCATGGTAATGGCGTAACGGCATCCATACCATAATAATACTTCAGGAGCTACGGAACTCAGATGGCGGCTGGCTGTACCGCGGGTTTAGCGCTCTTAAGGCTCACGTTACCGCAGTTTAACAAGCGTGTCGGAGAACTACGGTGGCCTTCAGGGAACAAACAAACACAGAGACTCTGGTTTGTCCGTTCTGGGCTGCTGTAGAAACATGGCGGTGCAACATGGCGGACTCAGCCTCGCCCTCCCTACGTAGATATACGAAAAACTCATCCTAACCCTAACGAAAACATGACGATTCTCAGTTTCACACGAATGAAAACGATTATGAATATTATATTTCATTTCTGCTCCAACTAAATCCTTCACAATGGCCCTTTCACGTGATGCGAGTGAGACGGACTTGCCTAATGTTTGATTGACATGAAAAAGTGAAAACTGTGCAATAAGAGAAGTTTTCAGTGAAACTAATATAAGGTACATTTAAATGTTAGCAGTAGATGTGTTTCTTAGCGGTTGATCTTTTTCCCAGTAGTTTGTGATATCAAAGTACCCCCCCCCCCCCCTTTTTTTTTTTGTGTGTGTGACCTTACCCGGCAACGTCCTTTCTTTTCTTCCATTCCCATGTTGAACTCCAGCTTTTTAGTTTTCTCTTGGTTTGTCTCTGACTTTGATGTAAAATTGTGTGTGTGTTATGTAACACATTGGAATCCTAAATTCGAGCTCCAGTGTTGGTTCATAGATATCTCTTGAACTGTAGATGTGTTTATTTCCTCTTCGGCCCTGGGTGGGGGGGGGGGGGTGTTTGTGGCCGTTCCCTGTAGAATAGTGCCACATCAAACAAGTTTTCATGTGAAAGACATTCCTGTTTGGATTACCATTTCAAATGCATCTCATTATAAATAAGTGGTAGGAATAAGGAGAAGAAGTCCCCAATGGGACATTATTTTTGGAAAAATATGTTCGGTCGTCAATGGTGAAGAGAAATCTATTTTTTTTTAATTTTATTTTTTTATCCTGTTTGAGTTGTGCCATGAATTACACACATGATTATCAATTTAAGAAAGAAAAAATTGCAAGCATGGTTTGTCTCAGAATTTTGCACGCCAAGAAAGTTGTAAGTTTTTGTTGTAAAACTAGTAAAAGAAACTGAAAATCTGTAATTAGAAAGACTGCACACACAAACGTGGTGTAAGCGACGTCATAGGTTTGTCATAGTATTGTTTAGTTTTGCGTGAAACCGATCAGTGAACTACATAATGGACGACACCGCTCGCCAGCTAACGTGGCTATGATGTACGCAGACATGTAAGGTTTTCTGACCTGTGTTTTTTATCCAGCGACTCTTCATCAGATGGGAAGAGAGAACATCCTGGTACCAAACACATCGCAGCTTCAGAGAGACGACACTTTTCTATTTACGTATTTTCAGGCAACAGTTTCACGACTTTCTTGACGTGCAGAATTATCTTTTTAATAAACAAACATATCTGTCATTCATGGCACAATTCAAACGGGATCAAAATGTTGCCGTTGAGTACCGTGCATATTTATTCTGAAATCCGGTCCCATGGTGGTCCACTTAAAGGGGCGGGGCTTAGCCTCAACCGGATTCATCTGCTGCTGTTTCGTGTCTGTGTCTGTTCGGCAGAAGTGAATCTCCGTTTAGTCTGTCGCTGCGTGACGTCACGAGGAAAACGTGCCAAACACGGAGTCGATACCGACTTTAACAAAACATTATTTTTCTTTGTAAAGATGCAACTGTAGGCCTCATTTATATTATGTAAGAAAAGAAAAACGCTTCTGGAAACAGGACAATATTTTTTTAAAGTGAAGATCTTAAATTTGAAAGACACTCGTGGCAAAGACTTTAAGCTTAACGCAGACCGTTATTTAACGCTGCTAAGAAGTACTGTGCTCTTTTACAATCACGCGACTACATGATCAGATTCGTACCATCTGGCATATTATAGCTTCTTTTCTTTTTATTATTTCTGGGTTGAACTGAGCCAGGATAGGAAACGGTAGCAGGACTAGTTTAGACCCGGGACGTTGATCTTCCATGAACCCTTATGCACGCGCCCTCACTGAGACGCTCAGTCGTCGCACGTGGTCTGTGACGGTGTTCCACCGCTTCAGTGCTTGAACATGAAGAACCACAGTTTGAACGCACTCATTTTGAGTTATTTTCTTCTTCTGTTCAATAAAATGACTCGACTAACTTGCTGGAGTGTTTGTTGTTATTTCCCCACTGCTAATTATTATTATTATTATTATTATTATTATTATTATTATCTCGTGAATATGCAACTCACGACGGCTTTTCAGAGCGGGAGACACTACAGGTGAAATATTTTAACTAATGGATATCACCATTAAACTTTCTTAGTTCATTACTCGCATTGAGATGATTGTTTTGTATTACAAGTTTTCTGACATTTTATGTTTAAATATGCAAATGAGGCATTATCTTATGTGCTATTTTGCATATATTTTCAGAACATAAATGTGAATGTTGGATAAAGCAGGTTCACTGTTCTTGTTTCATGTTGTTGACATATTAGAGTCAAAGGTTTTTATATTTATATCTCTTTATATCACTCCATCAACCAGAAAATACTGTCAACCGACATAACAAAATACATTTTCTCCATGTTTTTATTACTATAAATGAGTGTGTGAGTGATGAGTGAACTAACCCCTCTGTGTGAACCTTCAGCACACAGAGAGGAATGAACGAGTGAAGTTTGGTGAATGTAAGAGCTGCTGAAGTGGAGATTTATCATCAGAGTCTGAGAACAAACTCATTTAGAGGAAACGTCCTTTAAAGAGACGTTTAGTT